GAGTGAAATTTGGCCTTCCAAAAAATACTATTGAAAACTTCATGTGGAAATTAGGGTTGCACCCAAGATGATAAAGAAGAAGTTATAAGCACACACTTTTAAAGAGTTTAAGGTCCAAATTCAATTATCAGGTTGACAAGAAGAGACGAAATGCTCAAGGAGGTTAAGTAAACAAATCATATCTTGGGTTTCTTAATTGTCAAGGTTCCTAAAAAAGAAGAAATCAAAGGACGTGTGACTATCAAAGCGATCAATGAAATGAGTGTAGTGGCTAGATGATAGGTGACAGAGGCGAGAGAAGCATCTCCTTCCCAGTCCTATGCAAAAATATACTTACTCTCGAAGATTTTATGTCTTAAAGAATTAGGCTCCAAGTGAAAATACCATAATCAACAACCTGTCTATACTCTTTCTCTTCGTCTCTCGAATCAAATGATGTCTGAGTTAGCCTGAGAATTAATTTGGCCCAAATCCCACTAATTCAAGAAGCAAAAACCTACAAGTTGTACCACTCCTATGCTGCTAGCTGCTCCTCCTCCATGGCCATCAAAAGCTGTCGTTCTATTGGGACAATCCACGCAGTGAAATGTACCCATGCTTCAACTGCTTCTCCCTAACAAAAACCCCCATCTTCCTGGAAAATTGCATAGACAAAAAGGAACGAAAATGCTTCAACCATCATTGACCAACCCTTTCCTCCACCCCTTCAAGCACCAGAATAGCTTTCTTCTTTCCACCACCAAAAAACGAACCACTGAAATCTCATGAACCTGTCTTCCCTATTATCAAACCCCGAGCCCAAAAAAACAATTTCAGGTCTCTGAAAATCCTGTAGTCACAAGGCTTGTCTATCTCCTCTACCAACCTTCTTGAGAACCTCCGACAACCATTTAACCTCTTCAAACCCCTTTATGGATCCAAAGTCTGTTACCACTGGTTATTTATAAAATGCATACATCTGCCCCCATAGCAGAAACAAGGATTCAATTCTGAACTTCCTAACAAATTCCATGAGTAACACTAAATCTAAACTCCATTAGATGATGATAAAAAAAAAATCAAAATAGAAGAAAGAACCGGCTAACTGAGAGAAATAATTAACCAAGAGCTGGATATGTGATGGCAATACCAACATTACTGATGTCTGTTCAATTAGGTTCTATTCTTAAAGCATGTCAATATGTGGCATCAATTTGCTGTTCTTATTACTATAACATTTGTTAGTTTAATTTCTCAAATTAGTTAGCAAGTATTATAAGAACCTTTGCACTTCAATATGATCTTGAGGAGAGAAGAGAGAAGCGGCAGCTCCTTCTCGACTAAAGAAGCAAATGAATTTAAGAAGATAATGGATAGGATTGGTGTTTTTTATCTTCCTTTATCCAATGGGCAGTAGACCTGGTCCAACCAAAAGAGCAAATCTGCAATTGATGAGTTCTTCATCTCTGCCAATTTAATGGTTGATCTTACGGGTGTTAGGCACAAAATACTGCCTCGACCTATATCTGACCACTACCCCATTTGCACTGATGCTAATGGTATTAAGTGGAGTCATATTCTTTTCCGTTTGGACAACAAATGGTTGCGGAAGGAAAATTTCAGGCAGTTGGTGACAAAACTTGGCATAATACTATGGTCAAAGGGTATGCTAGTTACAGATTCGATCATAAACTGAAAGTATTGAAAAATGAAATCAAAGCTTGGTCCAAAGAGGTCATGGGCGAGGAAGAAGCAGAACTTGACACTATTTTGAATGATATTAGTGATCTGGATATGAGAGAGCATTCAATGAGGTTAAATGATGAGAGAGGGAGAAAAGGCAATTTGAAGCTTAGGCTGGCCGCCTTGTTGAAGGATCAAAAAACTGTGTGGAGGCAGTGGTCTAAAGAAAAATGGTTGGCAGACGGGAATAGAAATACTAAGTATTTCCATGCACTACCCTCCCATCGGCATAGAATTAATTATATTGAAGAGGTGAGATTTAAAGACAAAAATTTAAGGGTAATACAGAATTAAGGGAGGCCACCAGATTCCACTTTTCCAGGCTGTACATGGAAAATTTTGTTGTCCGCCCCAAATTAGACAATTTGCCCTTTAATAAAATTTCTGGAAGAAGTAGGCAGTGGTTAGAAGTTGATTTCTCATATGAGGAGGTGTTTGATGGTCTGAAATCTTGTAATGAGAATAAGGTTCCTGGACCCAACGGTTTCAATATGAAGTTTCTGCAATATTTCTGGTATCTACTGAAAAAATGACATAATGTGCATTTTAAAGGAATTGCACTCTTCGAGGAGCTTTGTGAAGTCTTTGAATTCTACGTTCATTACTCTTATTCCAAAAAAGAATGGGGTTAAGGAATTCACAGATTATAAACCAATAAGTCTGGTGGGATGTATATACAAATTAATTGCAAAGGTGCTTACTAGAAAATTATCAAAGGTGTTGGGTGAGATTATTGGGGAAAACCAACATGTATTTGTGGAAAGAAGACAAATTTTAGATGCAGTGATGGCGGCAAATAAAACTGTTGATGATTTTTTAACTAATAAGACAGAAGGGTTGAAGTGCAAATTGGATATGGAAAAAGCATATGATCATGTAAA